CAGGCCGCTCGCTTCGAGCTTGGCGCATTTGCTTCTAAGTTACGTAATTCTCACTTTATCTGGGTTGGAAATTGTTTGCTTAACGGAAACGGGGCTTCTTTTCAGATTGTTGCTATGGCCTGCATCAATCTCGCGTCCAAAATCGAAGAAGCGCCTCGTCGGATAAGGGACGTGATCAACGTGTTCCATCACTTGCGGCAGTTAAGAGCAAAAAGGTAAGATCAGCTTCGTTATGAGCATAAGCATTTGTTACCACTAATGTTCGCTGCAGTTCTCAATTCACAGTATTTTTCCAGGCTAAGTTCAACGACCTAAAATTGAGAAGGGAGTGCCCGTTGGCTGCTGTGTAGGCAGTACAGTGCAATCTCGGCTGCTTCTGCTTTTGTTCACTTGGTAGACCCGTTTGTCGTTGTTGATGTAGCTACGAGTTACAATTGGCAAGTATTGGTTCTAGTTTTAGGACCATGATTGTGGTTCCAGGTCTGTTTGTTGCTTTTTTTGGCGTCTCATAGTTCTGTAAGATAGTCTCAGGTGTGCGTAGCCAGTTAGTGAGTTGCTGTGTATTCTCCAGTTTTTTAGCCATACTTAGCAGTCATGATGGCATTTTTTCTAGTTAATCTGTTGCTGTCCAAGCGTGGTTGTGTAGTTAAGAAAGTCCCTCTTAAGAAAGAGCTGAACTTTCAGTGGTGCCAATGCCTTTTAAAAAAAGCTGTTTTAGAAAGTACCTGAGAAGAGGCCTGGTTTGGCCTGCAGTGTTTGCAGCTGTATTGATGGGGAGCCTGTAATTGAGTCTGGGAGGCTGAAGGCATTTTTAAGTGCAGAGGGTGAGAGCGGCGTTGTTCTGGTGTGCTTGTGCAGATGGAGTGGGGCTCACCTGGCCGTGTGCAGGTGGGGTAGAGCCGTCCCATTTCGGAGTTTTAGTGCTGCTCTTTGTGTTTAAAGCAGCGTTTTTTATGTGTAAAGCACGTAACCGATGCGTTGAAGGGAAAGAGTTCTCTAGGTTGCTGTTAAACATGAAGTCTCCTTAATTCTGTCGGGCAGCAGTGTCACAGTCTGGGACTGGAGACTTCGGCTTGGTTTCTGGTGCCTGATTGCTTTAAAGTTTCAGGTACTCTGCAGTTACACAAGGATTTTGCTTTCAGCTACAGTGTTAAATTCACACTTCATTTCCCTGCCCTGTGTCAGCAGGTGATGGCAGGAATTTAAACTCGTGTTGTGCAAGCTTTTCTGAGAAGCAGAGTAGAAATCCCTTAGGGAAGCCAGCTGTTTGTTGGTGTCTTTATCCTGGTTATGCTGCTGTTGAAGCCGGAGCTTTGGCTTTTGCTGCCTCCTGATGGTGTTGTCCTAGTTAGTTCCAGATCCAAGAAGGAAGAGTTGGTGTTACACTTTGGAGTTTGGCTTTGTTCTGGCTGGCCTTTAAGGCTGTTCTCCCCCATGGCCCTGAGAGAGCTGTGTGAAGTTATGCCAGGTGTGGATTCAGTGGGATTGTGTTCCACAGCTATTGAGGGAGTCTGGTTATTGGAATTGCTGGAGCAGGCTCAGTGATTAGTAACGTTCTGGCCTCCGTCCAGGCAGTGAAGGTTAATTAATCATATGCCTTGCTGTTCTTTGCAACGAGAATGCAAATTAGTTGTTTCTTTGTGCTGTGTGAAGGATCAGAGACACTGAACTTAACCTGTGAATTTAAATCTTTCCAGCTAGCCTGTTGCAAATCCCAACTTGTGCATGTTACGTGGTGCCTAAAGTGCATCATGTCCAGAGAAAGCGTGCACTGCTACCCATTATTTTCGGGAGAAATGGGTATTGTTGCTCTGCGATTCTGAGTGAATCTGCATGAAATTAACCTTAAAAATGCTGCAGTCTGACATTCAGACTTGCACAACCCCCTCCCCCTTTTTTTTTTGTAGCAAGCAGGATGTAAACGTTTTTCTGTACTTTTTACAAGCTGACAGTTCCATCACCTGTACACGTTATTAACTTCAACTCTTTTTTCCCTTGCAACCGACTATACAGCGACCAGCTACATTTACCAAAGCCTGGGTGATGTGGAGTGGTACATAAAGATGAAGCTGTCGTCATGGCAACAGTGAGTGAAGTATCGAAAATCCCCAAGGAGAAGCCAGTGCTCTGAGCATAGGTCACTGGAATCGGGGGACTAACAGGTTGGCCGCTGGTGAACCATTTGGAAGAACTCCTGTATCTTGTTATAAGCTTTTTTCTTTGCTGTCCAGGTTTTTAGAATACTAGCTTGACCTTTTTTTTTTTTTATTATTTTTTACTGAAGCTAACACTTAGGCTGTAGTTAGTCTCTCACACACAACCCAGAACTGAAACAGGCTGCTGTACTTTCTTTTTTAGTCTAGCATTTCTGTTAACTGAAGCTCTTAACCTGCACACAAATTTGGGGTAGTTTGGGTAGGCTTTGCTTTCTTTCTTAACCAGTTTTGGGTTCTTAGTTCCACTTTCTGGCTCTGTATAATTGCAGCTTGAATTCACAGTAAAACAAGGGTATGTAAGTCTTGAATTTGTATATTTTTATCAATTTTGATGTAAGCAGTCCCTTCTGTGTACCTGTTTGCAGAACTGGGAATTGCATTGGAATTTTCTTTTTATGAGACGTAGTCACCCGAGGTGGTATTTCTAATGCTGAGAAGTAAGAAAAAGCTAAATAAGTGTTTTGGACAAGCGTATTTTCTTTGGGATCTTTACGAGCATATGTGATGTAGAACTGCATGTAAAAATGTTTGTGTGCATGGAGAAAAGCTCGTACTGTGGAAAAACTGCTTTTTAAATAACTGTGTGCCAAAACATCTCTGTTCTGAGCAAAGTGCAACTGTTGTTTAATGTAGAATGTAGTTTGAAGCTGATTTTTTTTCTTTGAACTGTGCCTGAAAGCTGCAGAAGGTCCTGAGACTGGAAATGTGACTGGTGTGGTGCTGTAATCTCTGGTGGTGCTTTGAGGTGCTCAGTCAGCTGTTCCTCACTCAGGGGCCCTGCACGGGGGCTGCAGTATGACACCCATCCCTAGTGCCTTCAGACTGCTGCAAACCTGGGCTGCTTGTGCTTGTGACCCTGGAGACAAACAGAGAACTGGTGTTCTTGTACTGCCCAGCATAACAGATCTCTGCTCTGAAGGGAGGTGCTGGTGCCCTGCTGCTCTTGTCACCAGTGCTGTGCTCATTAGGAACAGAACTCCACGCAGGGCACTGCTCCTCCCTGTACTAGTCATGCCAAAGACATCAAAGTTCAATATTGCACCAAATGAAGCTGCTGCTCTGTGGAGAACATAGGTCTCATTTGTCAGAGTGATTTTTATAAAAGGTATTTGTAATTTATTTATTGTTACAAACACATTACAGTGTGTGTTAATCTTCATGGTTGTTGCACAATCTAAATCCCAGTCAAGTTTTTATCTAAGTGTTGGATTGATTTCCCAGAGGGACCACTGTGTGCTCTGTTCTTAAAGATGAAGTCTTGCCTGGAGCTCTAGTGCTGGTCTGTAGGAACAGATTCCCAGTAGGAACTTGCAACACTCCTTGGCTATACAGAGTTTGAAGCTTATATTTCATATATAAGCTTATAAATTCCTTTACTCTGATTTGGTACTTGGTCCAAAGATGGACTGGGAATTAAGTGCAGCAAATGCACTGGCAAAGTTCCCCTTTTTTTGTAGTAGAAAACAAAGAAGTTTCTCAGAGGGGAATTTCTGAAGTTTCTCACTTGTAAATAATTGTTTGCCAACATTGTGGAGTTAATGGCAAAAGTATTAAATTGGCAAATCAATGTAGTGGAGAACCTTACCTGTACCAGTTATAAGGTGCAGCAAAACACTGAAATCTCCTGTAGATTTTTCTTTTTCCATGAGTGGATAAAAGGCTGCATTTGTCTGGAAGTCCTGTCTGGGTAAATGATAGTTTTCATGGCTTCCTTAGGGCTGCAGGACTGGTGACCAAAGGAGTGTGGGACAGCAGAGTAGAGCAAAGCACACTGGGCATGTTGGGTTTCCTGTCCCTGTGCTGTGGAACCTGGGCCAAGTGTGACCTCTTGGTGCTGATGCCATGGCCCTGTGCAAGGACAGTGGAAACTTTCAATGCAGCACAGGCTCCCATCTGTCCTGCTGCACTTGGAGCCACCTTAACTTCCTGCCAGAGCCCCCAGGGAGTGCAGGGGCCTGTGCAAGGTGGGCTGGATGATCTGGGCAGTCCCACTGGACACTGTTAACAGACTGCAAGTCATGGCTGTCCTAAGTGTGTAACCCAAGATCTCCCACCTGTGATGGAGCTTTCTGCTGACAAACAGCCTGAGCTCCTGTGGGTGCTGCTCTGCAGATCCTGTTAATGCCAATGATCTGGAGATGAAATTGTGGAGAGCAGTACTGAAGGAAAGGTTATCAACACCAGTAAAATTGATGGGAATGAGCTGGAAGTGAATCAGCTTCACTGATGGGAAGAGCTCAGCTTGGTTATTCCACTGTCCCACTCCAGAGCACTGCTCAGCCTGGCTCTGTAGTGCTGAAGTGTTGGACAAAAGCAGCTCCTCATTGAAGTATAACTACTTCCTAAAGAGCTTGAAAAACTTTTCATTTTCAGTTAATTTATGGGGAGAAAAGGACAACCATAAACAAAAGAAAACATCTCCCGATTTTGGGTTTATTTAGAGGAGCTGAAATGAAAAACTTTGTAAACTTGCCCCGGTGAGTGAGAGTAACACTTAACTAGAGAAGTTACTCTGCTGTAACATGGCAAACCTGGAAAACCTTAAATAATGAGAGTATTTGACTTGCAGGTGCAGCCTGGCACCAGGAAGGGCAGTTGCTCATTGCAGAGCTGGCATCTCAGCCCCTTGGGAAGAGCAGGGACAGCTCATGCTTCAGGTGCATGGTGGTACAAGATGCTTTCATTAGAGAAGGTTGTGGTGCCTGTCCAGGTGACTGCAGAGGTCATGGCATAAACTGGGTTATTGCAGCCTTGTCATTAATTACCCCTTCCTGGGGTGGGAACCTTGGTTTTTTGAGTATTTTTTTTCTGTTCTGTGACCTGTCAGGAAAGAGAAGTGAGGTCCAAGATCCACTCATGTAATTTGCAAGTTGGCAGTGAAATATTTTGTCTAATACAACAAAAGCTGTGTTTTGAATCCACTTTGCATTACTTTTTTTTCTTTTGAAGGTAATGTAAAATAAATTTGTGACCACTGCTTGGGGTGTATCGTGTACACAGACCGTGGTTTATTAGAGCATAACGAGCTGCAAAAACATTATTCTGCTTTGGAAAGCACATGGAATGTGTGAGGCATATTACAGGGAAAAAAAAAAGCTGGTCTGTCTTCAGGAGGAAGTGGATTAAAATATAAAATATCCCCTGTGGAATGTTGAAAGGTCAAGTCTAAGCACGGACAAAGCAAATATGCAATGGAGTGTGACACTTGTGCATCAAGTACAGAAGGTTTTTGTGATTAAACATGCTCTGGACAGTTGAGGGTTTGGACTTGGGAGGAATTAGGATTGACAGTGCTGGAGTTTGAGATGTCTCTCTGAAGTGAGCTGTTGTTTTGCACATGCAGACGGGAGCAGGATCATCCCTGGTACCCAGAGTCCCAGGCAGATCCATGTCCCAGGTTAATCCTGTGCTTCCCTCAGCTTTTCACACATCACAGGGCTGGGCAGGGCTGGCTTTTCTGAAGGGTCAGTCAGCTGCTCTGCAGTGCATAGGAAACTGCAGTTTCTAGAGCACGAGTTGCTACTTTAGTGCCAGTGAGAGCCCTGGTGTGGCTTATTCTGCTTTGGAACCCTGCCTGGCACAGGACTCCTTCTGCCACCTCTGGCACGGGGAGGAGAAGTTCTTGGGAGTGCCCTCATCCAGCCAACTCCTTCAGCAGCTGGAGCAGTGCAGTTTGCATACACAGGAGCAGAAGGTTATTTTTTTTATCTCAGCCATCTAATCTGTAGCTAGCCAAAAGCAGCAACTAAACTAGTTTATCTAAACTTGGACAGCACAAGATTAATGCTTAAACTTGCTTGCAGGAGTTGAAAACCGGTTTCTGTTGCCATTAGTTGGTTGGAAGGGAAAACAGAGTTGCCGTTATTTTTGGATATGCAAAACAGTTTTGATTTTATTTCTTGCAAACTATAGGACTCCAAGCCCACTGATACTTGATCAGAACTACATAAACACCAAAAATCAAGTAATCAAAGCAGAAAGGAGGGTACTGAAGGAGTTGGGATTTTGTGTTCATGTCAAGCATCCTCATAAGGTGAGTTCTCAATAATAATGTAATTGTAATTCTTACTCTACCTTGGTGGCATCACTGGGAGCTGTGGAACAAGAAACACAGGTGTCAGAATGACCTGAATTCTTTTCTTTATTCCCTTATAGCTATTAAAGCTTTTGCCAGGGTGCTTGGGCAAACAGCCATATTGACTGTGAAAAAAGTCACTTCCCTGGGAAAGGGTAAAGGTGGCTGGTTTGAAAATAGCAGAAAAGTAGTGAGATAAAGAATTGTGTGAATGTGATGGGCTGACATGAGAGCTTAGAAGTGTGTGCTTGGAGAGAAGGAGCCCCCATTGTTTGGGCCTGCTGTTTGATTTCATTTGGACATAGGTATATATGTACTCCTGCTTTATGTGTTGAAACTGAGTCTCTTTTTTCTTTCTCCCCCTCCTTATTCCTCAGATCATTGTTATGTATTTACAAGTCCTAGAATGTGAACGTAATCAAACCCTGGTACAGACAGCCTGGTAAGTTGCTATTTTCCATTCTTTTCCTAGCCAGGAAAATAGTAGCAGAAATAACAAGCCTGCTGATCCCTATGCAAAGCAATGAGATGTAAGTCACCACCCAAACACATTTGGACAATCTCGTGGTGCTTGTTTCTGCTTACTATTTTCATGGCCTTATTCCAGCGTAACGATGGAGAACTCAATTTAACTTTGTTCTTTTTTCTACTCTTTGATTGAAGGGTAGTCCCTGCTGGTAAGTCATAGAGCTCTGCCCTCTGCACCTCAGCCCATGACCTGGGGATGGCTGCTTTGGCTGCCCTTCTCTCCAGCCAAGCCAGTGCAAGCCTCAGCGAGTTCACTGCCGTCACCCAAAGCCATCGGGCAGCACCTCCTAGTTCTGTCCTGGCGCCAGGATTTGTATATTTGGTTCTAGAAGTAACTCTTACAACTGTTTCTCAATGTCTTTGTTGCCTACCTGCTGTATGTTAAAGGACACGTGGGGGACAATTCTACCAGCGTTTCTTTCATTGATTTAACATTTCAACTTGAGTTAAGCAGAGGGTGACAGTGCATGCAGCATGTTCACTTAGCAGCCTGGCTGGGCGTGGGGGTGTAGAGTCCTCACTGACTGGCTGCTGTTCTCTCTCCCTTGTTGGGAATTAAGAAATCCATGGAGCTCTGCTGCTCACCCCATCTCTGGGTGGGTGTTGCTGGCTGTGCCAGCCCTGTGCAACAGCAGCAGCTCCAGAGGTCGGGGCCCAGTTCTAACTCACACCTTTTCCAACACTATGAGAGCAAACAGGGTGCATCTCCCTGGATGAAGTTAAAGTGGCCCAAAGCACCCAAAATTTAAATGTACTCAGTGTTTTATGAGCTCTGCAGGTTGCACATAGCCTCTGGATAATGGTAGGTTGAAAATGCACCTTGCTCTCCTGATGGCTCTTGAGTTCTACATTGATCTTTAAATACAAACCCATTGGTGTTTAAGACAATCAGCTGGAGAGATGCAAAGTGCTTGTTAAATTGTAACTCAGTGGACACTTCCAGGGTAACTTCAGCTGGGAAGTGGCCGTTCCAAACTGCTTGGATTTCCTGCTACACATTACTGTAAAACAGTGGCAGTGCTGCAAACTGTCACAGTGACACATGTAAACATCCAGCACAACCTGAAGGAAATCACATGTTCAATGTAACAACAGAAAAAATAATAAAGTCAATTGAGTCTCCAGTATTGTTATCCTCTGAAAGAAAAACAAATGGAGTCCCAACAAGTGCTGCTTTGTTTTTTCAGGAATTACATGAACGACAGCCTCCGGACAAACGTGTTTGTTCGCTTCCAGCCGGAGACCATCGCATGTGCGTGCATTTACCTCGCTGCTAGAGCCCTGCAGGTGAGCCCTGCCTGCTCTGAGCCCTGCCTTCCCCTGCTGCTGCTCAGCTTACAAGGAAATTCATGGAAATATTCCAGCAAAACCCGACCTGAAATCTCCACTAAGCTTCTCCTTGTTTGATTTTCAGATCCCGCTGCCCACCCGTCCCCACTGGTTCCTGCTCTTTGGCACCACGGAAGAGGAGATTCAGGAGATCTGCTTAACAACTCTGAAGCTTTATACCAGAAAGAAGGTGAGTTTGACATGTTGGGGTTTGCTGCTTGATGCTCAGTGCAGCTGGAACTTGAGTTGTGGTTGTCCAGAAAAGTTTGGGAATGCCTAACACGGATGTGCCAATGGGAAGGGCTCCAGTAAGGAGAGAACAAATTCTGAACGTTACATTACTGGACAGATCATTAAAAGCCAACTCAGTATTTTTCAGAAATGAGATGAAATAGGAATTACATTAGTTCAGCTTCTTACTTGCTTGTTAACTCCACAGCCTAATTATGAATTTCTGGATAAAGAAGTAGAAAAGAGGAAAATGGCACTACAGGAAGCAAAACTGAAAGCAAAAGGTTTAAATCCAGATGGAACTCCAGCACTCTCAACACTGGGTGGCTTTTCTCCTGCATCCAAACCATGTAAGTCTGTTTTCTGAACAGAAAACCTTTTTTTATTTGGTTGGTTTTTCTTTAACATGGATTTTAAAATCAGTCTCAAAACCTTGAAACCACATAGAAAGGAGCTGCTTTATTCCACATTTCCTCAGATGTGAGAGTGATACATGAATAATGTGCACCCTTAAGAGAATAATGAAGCAGGAGTTGCTGTGTGTTCTGTGATGTGAAGAGAGGCTTTTTGGATTTAATGTGGGGATGCTGCAATAGCCTTCATGGCCCCTTTTGCAGCAGGTA